CTTGTATGGTTTGGATCGTTTTCCCCAACGTTAGTGAATTGAAAACATAATGATCTGCGCACACGAAAGCACCCTCTGTGAAGCAGGAGGAGAGGAGAGCGGAGAAAGTTCAAAAATTATTACTAGTGACAGAACAGGTTGGAAGATGGCTGTTTGAGGTTATTTATTGCTTTTTAAATCATCCTAAAGGCTCTGACATGTTAGATAAATTCGAAAATTAGGTTTTGAAAAAAAAATMCGTAAGACTTGAAAAAATCCGTGAGATTGCTCTGTATGTCTGTAGACCTGCAAAATGACGTAAAATCCTTATAACTTACAGACAATGTGTACAAGTTGACACGTAGGCAGAAGCCAATGCAGTGTCTCAGGGTGTGGGGTGCTGTGCAAACACAGCTTCTCAGAGCCATAGGTGAGAATTGGGTAAGTAGTGAGGACCAGTAACAGAGGATGTGGCTGACTGCTACAACAAAAGTACTAACTCTACCAATACACCCCTACCACCTATGGATTTTACCTGACATATTTTGCAGTATATTTTTATTATATCGCTAGAATATGGTACAAGGAAGCTTCTGAGTAATYCCAGAGCTCAAACTTCAGCTTCTACATGGTCAGAAAYGTATGATTTGACACCAAGATCAATAATGTAGGACAAATATCTACAACTTTATAGCAAAAGTGTATTTTTGATAGCTGAAATGGCAGCCATCTTGAAAAAAGGCCGCCATCTTGACTTTTTAAGTGTCTAAGGTTTTTTTTTTTTTCAAAAAAAGTAATCTCCATGGAGTGTTTGTGCCAATTTTGGTGCTTGTTTCCAGATTCGAAAGATTTCAGTAACATTTCACAGTTATCTGCTGCACTAATTCAGGTGCTTGGAGTTAAAAGCCTTCTTGTCTGGTAGTCCTGCTGGTTTTCATGATCTGATTCTCGCTGTCTGGACCGAGTCTGTAGGTAACACAGGTGGATTTAGACCTGGACCAACGGTGAGTTCGCTGGTCTGTGGACAGATCCTAACCGAAGTTGAAAATCGCAGATGAAAGCAACCTCAGAAGATAAATACGTGGAGTCAAATGAGTGGCTTGTGATTTACAGCTTGTTTGAATTGCATCAGGGAGGCACTAAGTGACAAAACAAACAACTGTCGTCTAAAATGCAAATATTTAAAAATAACATTTTGCATGTTTGCGTTGAGTGTCAGAAGCTGCAGTTCTGCGGTCGAGGAACACGGTCCAAAGGATGGAGAAACTGCTCTACATCATCGGAGCTGTGGGTAAGATTGATCAGATTAGTCCAGTTCAACAGAATCTGGTGTCTTTTATTGTTGTAATGTGTTTTAAGATATGTTTATTGAAACATTTAACATCTTTAATCTGATTTATTGTTCTCATGTGTGTAAGAGTTCAGTCTCATGTCGACACAGATAACAGCTGCTCTAACAGTGACGTCAGCCTACTGAAAGTTCACACAGCTTTGATCAGTTACCTTTTTTTAAAGTTTTTTGCGACATTTTTCTAGCTTCGATGACAGAAGACAAGCCTGCAGAACCTGTATGTTTCTGAACACCATCAGCCATTAACATCAGCTTTCATCAGTCATTAGAAATGACGCAAAAACATGCCAACCATCAGTTTAACACATTCAATATTTTGCACAAACAGAAATACTTAACCTGTTAAAAGAACACATTTCTCCACCATTTGTAAGAGTTCAGTCTTACACTCTTATAACAGGTTATAAACCAAGTTATAAGGAACATAATCTTTAGCAAGGATCATTTTTATTTTGGGTAAACTTTCCTCTAGTGCAGAAATGAATGGACACACAAGAAGTGACTCTCAGTGAMTGTTGATTTGATCTATAAATATTGCGATCATTTATTTTACAAATCTTACAGAACCACTACACTTGATTGTGAACAATTAATTTCATTTAAAAGTTTTGGGACCAACAATAACAAGCTTTTAACTTCTTCATTGTCAATCAGACAATTAAATAGAAACACAAACGTCAAGCTTTGATGTTTGATACCAGACAATTTGAGGCAATTATTTTACGGTTGGCAAGGAAGACTTTAAGAAAAAGGAGGAAGAAAGCTGTTAGCTTTCCTATACTTTTATCTTATATAATGTGGGTTTTAACCAGAAGGGCGAAGTGTTTTCTGCTCGGCTTCGGTCAGACAGAGAAGTTCGTAACACAGCCAGCTTTTTACCTTTAGATGATGTTCTGTCACCTGTCCAGGTAATTCAGGGCTTCTGCTGAGAGAATCTGCTCAGGACCGTCCACCAGAGTGACCCAGGCATGTAGGTCTACTCGCTTTGTCCGCGTCAAGCCGTAGGAAAAAGACGAAGCCCAAAACTGTAAACTGACTTCAAATAAAACTAGAAAGTTTTCTGAAGTGGATCGACCAGGCGTTGAGGGCTCGACACACGGGCAGCAACAAACTACAGCGATTCACGGCTGTCATCGCAGCCAGGGTGAAACCCGACACACGGGAC